GCTCGGTCGAAGCGCAGCCCTATCACACCAAGTCCTCACCATGTCGACGCCAAAGTTACTCCAGAGTTCATCTTCATGTGGCCCCCGGAGTGTCGTGACCGACCTCCCTCTGGTCGACAAGAAGAAAATAGCGTGCTCCAGGGCCAATGTGCACAAAACATGTCAAACGCGTCAAGCCATGTCAATGAGCGCCAAAAACCCGTTTTCGCGCCAAAGTGCGCGCGCTTCCAAAAACAGCATTCATTTTTTCATTCGTCTCGTCTCCGTCGTCCCGCACGGTCGACTCCCCCTCTCCTCCGACTACCCTGCTCGTCCCCAGCGCCTCGACCGGGCCCATCTCGCTCTATTATCTTGAAGGAAGGTATTCTTTGTATTTTATATTGTCAATGTCTTCGTTAATTACATGAAGGTTTGGTTAAAAAGGTGTTCTTTATAAATGGCAAAAGGGTTTTTTCCGTTGTTTATTTTTACAACCATTGGTTCGGTTGTTGGGTATACATTCAAGGCACGGGGTCGGGTAGGGTAGGGCGGGGGTGGGGTGGGAGTCCCACTTGTGTCGTGATCGAACCACCGATGGGTCACGACACAATTTGGTGCATCGGCCGCGGTCACCGTCTTGATGACGGTGGCCGAGCGATCGAATCCATGTGGCCCCTCTTCAAACATGACCGTTTCCAATTCATGTCTTCCATGCATATCCCTAGGGAGCAGGTCACCATGAAGGCTATTGCTGGTGGTACACTCTTCCATGTTCATGTATCAGTTCCAGTACTGCCGTTGCGACCAGTGGCAGGGGCCTCCTCGGTAGCACTGGCTGAGAAGGGCCCTCATGAACCTGGATCAGGTACTTAATACGCCATGTGTCTACTGCATCAAGTGAAACACGGGCGATCGGCCGAGGATGCCGCCCGTTAGGTCAGCCGGGGAGGCCAACCGACATTCTTGTGGGGATGCTGTATGCTAGGCCCATCAGTTTGGTCGTGGTTGGGAGGCCCGGGGGTGCGGGGGTAGGCTCGGGTTCGCTCAGAGCATGTTTTCCGCTCCGTGTTGTCATTTTTTGCATACTCACACGCGTTCGACTGTTGGTATGTTTGTGACCATGCTCATTTCCCCTCAAGTCGTCATTCATGATTTACCTAATCAAATACTATTCACTTGAAAAGATCTTTATCCTTGCGCATAGCCACCCCCCCCCTTTTCTTTTCATTATCATGCTCATGTTCATTGTTTTATCACCTATGTGGTTTCGTCGCATCATTTCATATGTTTCTAAATTGCCTATATGAATTATTTGGCCTTATCATGTTCGTCGTAAGATTTCGTATCATAGTAACTCTACCAAATTTCAATCGCTCGTTGACGCATGTTCCTCTCGTCGTTGGTACCTTTCCCAATTCAAAGCACACCTGCTTCTCTGTTCTAGGTCACTGCGTTCTCGAACAACGTCGCCACCATGTTCACTATCCAAGGATATAAGACCAAAGTTGCCACCGCGGTCAGTAATCTTTCGCGTATGGTTTCCTTTGTAGATCCATCTTATTTGTCACCTATAGATGGTTCTCTCCCACCGGATGCCCAAATTCGTGAGATACTTCGCCGTAGGGGAGCTATCTCAGCGATGAAAACCGGAATTAAAAAAGCTACTGAAGTACTCAAAGAGCAATTCGAAGCTCTCACATCGTTTATAAATACCCAGGACAATCGGGCACTGCTGAGCGCAGACGTGGAGCAGTTCTGGAATGATCAGAAGGGCGACCAGATTCAACAGCAAGCCCAGGACATCATCACAGCGTTAGAAACCCAGCTCATCATGGATGAATCAATCGAAATGTCTCTCCGTTCGAGCACTAACAGTGACATTGTTTCTGCCATTCAAACACTTTCCATCACCGGCACTACACCTGGCAACGAGTTTGTTGAACATCCTTCGCCTGATGCGAGCAAAACCCCCCGACATGTGCGTTTTGCGACAATCGACCCCGAACCCACCATGTCTCCTTATCAGCCAATTCAGCTTCGAAGACTCGAACTCCCAACATTCGACGGGGACATTACGCAATTCCACGGATTCTGGTGTAAATTCAAGACAGCGGTTCATGAAAACGACTCACTTCAATTGTCCACTAAATTCATCTATCTCACCAATTCATTGAAAGGCAGAGCTGCGCTGATTATCCAAGGATATGATCCCTCTGTACCCGAAAACTATCATCTCGCCATTCAAGCTCTCAAGAAGCGGTTTGACCGCCCTCACTTCACCCACAACCTTTTTCACCAAAGACTTGAAGAACTCCCCACCGCTTCACCTTCAGCTACATCGCAGCGCGATACCCTTTGTCAAATCCAGTCCTATATCTTACAAATCAACCGTTTCGAAGACACTACATCTTCGCTAGTTCTCATGAAAACAATCCGTAAAAAGTTTCCGAAAGAGACACAGATGGAAGTTAACAAGCTTGAGCACCGTTCAGGAAAAGTGTGGACTCTACCTGAATTACTGGACGGCTTGAATGAAGTAATCGAGGAATTGGAGAAACTTGACGACTATTCCAATACCAACTCCCAGCCCGAGTTTAACATCCATCCAGTTTCCACCCATTCCAGATCCCCCAGTCCTGAACCCAGGTATAACCCTAATCGCTGCTGCTTTTGCGACTCCTCAGCTCACTCTTCCACGCGCTGTCACCATCGTCTGCCACCGCACACCAGACGAGCAATTGCCAGGTCGTACCAACTATGTTGGAAATGCCTTCGTAAAGGACATGTCAGTTCCAGTTGTGGATATCCAAAGTGCTCGACGTGCAATGGTAGTCACCACAAGATTCTCTGTGTCAAACAGTCGGACTATATCAATTCTTATGATCATAGTCGTCGCCGTAGTCGCGAACGATATCGCTCGACGGAATCGAATCGCTCCCGTAGCCCAGAAGGCTACTCAAGAAGTCCCAGCTACGACGGCAGACGTCCACCGACACCGGTGAGAGACCGGCAAGTCGCTGGAGCAACACACGAAGCCCCTCGTACCACGAGAGGTCAACAGAGTACAGTCGTTCTCCCAAACATACAGTACGTTTCCAGACACCAGAACGTGTCCACTCCTTTTCATACCGTACACCAAACGCAGAACGACCCTATACTCCTACGTCCCAGGACACCCCAATTCATACCGCTGTAGAACTCGAAAATGAGTATGAACAGCTCATGCATTTCTATCAGGGAAACGATTACAACGAAGTCCAACTGTCAACATCTATGGCAGCTCCCCGCAGTTCCACCCTGGTAACAGTCGAGGCGCAAACTCGCCATCCCAAGACACGACAGCTTCAATCAGTCATCCTCCTTTTGGACACCGGGGCTCAGAAAAGCTTCATTTCTCATTCAGCTGTTCAACGCTTACAATTGGAGATACACAGCCCCGCTCCGTTACGACCATTACATTCGGTGCAGTTCGCACAACGGAACACTCAGGCATAGTCGACGTTATCCTTATAGACCTACTCCGCAAGCCTCTTCAGCTTAGCGTTCGTACGAAAAACAAGATAACTGTGCCATGCCCTGCACTCCATATCACTCCGGAAGACAGAGATGCCCTACAAGACCTTAGCATCGCTCCAGAATCCATAACAGCGACACGCCAGGTCACGCCAGATATCTTGATCGGAATAGATTACTTCTGGGATATTGTTACCACAGATCCCCCGCATACACTACCGTCAGGGCTCGTCCTCTGTTACACAAGGTTTGGACCCTCCATCTCTGGCTCACAGTTTTTTCGTTGATTCCATCCAGTATGCTTCAAATCACAACATGTCACTATATACTGCGACAGACCCTATCTCCCGTTTTGATACCCTTGATGTCGTTGGTATTACCGACGATCCAGACCCGCAACTTGATCATGACGAAGACGCCGCGTCCTACAACGATTCTATGATACCACTCAGGAGATTGACGGATACTTGTATGTACAATTTCCATGGAAAACATCACATCCAAGACTGGCCAACAACAAATTCCTCGCCCTCAAACGACTAGAAAGTCAGTATCGTATGCTCACGAGGAAACCAGAATTATGGAAATTGTATGCTTCAACTTTCGACGATTACCTAGCTAAAGGGATCATCGAAGAGGTTACCGAATTCGATTTCGATGATCACAGAGTCTATTACATTCCCCATCAAGCTGTGGTCAAAGAATCTTCAGCAACCACTAAACTACGAGTTGTATTTGACGCTTCGTCACATTACAAGGGAGCCCCTAGCCTCAATGATTGTCTTCCATGCAGGTCCATCTATACTCCCGGATCTTGTAGGAATCCTTGATTCGTGCACGGCTACAACCCTATCTTCTTATATCTGACGTGGAGAAAGCGTTTCTCCAGATTCGCTTGCAAACCACGCAACGTGATGCCACCCGCTTCCTCTGGCTCCGAGACATCAATAGTCCACCGTCACCATCAAACTTGCGAATTTTTCGATTCACTCGTGTCCCCTTCGGTATCAGCGCCTCGCCCTTCCTTTTAGCAGCTTCTATCCGTTATCACTTACGACGCGACCCGCAGTCACCGCTGAATAAGGAAGTTGAAGAAAATATCTATGTCGACAACATCATTCTGGGAGCCAGCACTGAAGAAGAGGCAATACGTAAGTATCGAGATTCCAAGTCGTTATTTAATTCCATGCATATGAATCTCCGGGAATTTTTGTGTAATTCTGCATCAGTTAATGATGCTATCGACCCTTCCGACCGTATGAAGACAACACATGTAGTTTCGCTTCTCGGTATAAAATGGAAACCCTTACAAGATACTGTTTTCATCCCCATTCAAGCTGTTCTCCAGCAGGTCGTTTCGAAACGCACCGCCTTGAAAGCCCTAGCGTCCATCTTCGACCCCCTTGGCCTCCTATGCCCATTTACTGCTCCATTCAAAATTTTTCTGCAGGACATGTGGATGAAATCCTACCACTGGGATGACCCATTGGACAGTTCTGATCTTCTAAGGTGGCGTCAACTTGTTCAAGACATACAGCACCCTATTCCACCAATTCCTCGTTGCATTATGTCAACCGCCACCTCTGCAACCCATTACGAACTTTGTGTGTTCGGAGATGCTTCAAAACGGCTCTACGCTACCTGCGTATATCTTCTTTGCCGCTCACATTCTTCGTCTACCACCCACTTGGTTATTGCCAAGTCTCTACTCGGCCCACGTAAGTCTATAACCATGCCGCGCATGGAGCTACTGGCCGCTTTGGTTAGCCTTCGCATTCTAAAATTTGTCCATGGACACCTCCATTTGAAAGTAGAAGCCATTCACGCATTCTCTGATTCTTTGATTGTCCTTCACTGGATACACTCTTCACGTCCACTTCGCACCTTTGTTAAAAATCGTATTGCAGAAATCCACTCCATTGTCAAATATTTCAGTTCCTTGAAGATCCCACTCAAGTTCTTCTATGTGCGATCGGACCTGAATCCGGCGGACCACGCTTCGCGAGGGGTCCCCACCACGTTCGCTAGAGACCCACTCTGGTGGTTCGGCCCTCCGTTCCTTCAACAACCTCCATCTCAATGGCCGGTGACACACGACTTCACCATACCACCTGCCGACGATGAAGAAGTGAAATGTGAGTACCAAAACCTTCTTCTATCACAGCAGACGGCCTATATTTCTCCGCTTCGCTTCCACACTAAAAGTCGTTACACGAGGCTAGTACGGTCCACAGCTTACGTGCTCAAGTTCATCGTTCACATGGCTGAAAAGATTGGGTTCTCAATTCGGAGTTTCGATCCTAACCATTTCACTCCGTCCAAAGATATTTCTGCTTCAGAATATACGCAAGCCGAGACTTTGCTTATCAAAGAACATTATCGTGAGTGTGAATCTCTTCTCGATCGACTACCACTCCAGCGCTTCAATGCTCATTGGTCCCCAGATGGCCTCATCCGCTGCCCCCACCGCTTACAGAATACAGAATTTATGTCACCTTCACCCATACTCCTTGTCCCATGTCATCCGCTCACGCAGCTCCTCGTAATTCATGTGCACCGCACCCAGTTTCATTCTGGCGTTCACGCTACTATAGCTACACTTCGATCCTCCTATTTCATTCCTTCCATACGCAGCGTCGTGGTAAAAATTCTTCGTTCTTGCGTGATTTGTAAGAAAGCCAATGGATTGCCATATCGCTACCCCGATATGCCATGTCTACCCCAAGAAAGAACTACCAGATCTCGACCCTTTCAACGTATTGGGTTAGACTATCTTGGTCCGATGAGGTATTTGGACGCACTTAATACACCTGCGAAGCTTTGGATTTGCCTATTTACCTGCATGGCGACGAGAGCCATCCACCTTGAGATTGTCCTTAATAACACAAGTCAAGAGTTCCTCTTAGCATTTCGTCGTTTTGTCGCACGACGTGGTTGTCCTGAGTTCATTCTCAGCGACAACGCTAGTACTTTCCGTTCAGCGGACGACACCATTCAGCGACTCCTTTGTGGCCCACTCGCTAACGACCAGATCATGCCTTATTTTGCAAGCCACCACATTCAGTGGAAATTCATCACCCCGCTCTCCCCCTGGAAGGGCGGATTTTACGAAAGACTAGTTGGCTTGGTTAAATCCTCCCTTCGCAAATCAATTAGACACTCTCTGTTACCGTTTCAACAGCTTCAAACACTTGTCTTCGAGATAGAATCCATTCTCAATTCACGCCCTCTCACTTCCATTACGGATACGGTGTCAGCTCCAACAGTACTTCGGCCGATAGATTTTATATCACCCGAAGTCCAATCTCAGCTGCCAGTACCGGCGAACGAGTCTTTGGACTACTCCCATGATCGACTCCTCGAATGGTATAAATCCACTCTTGATACGCTGAATTATTTCTGGAAGATTTGGTTCGAAGACTACCTTTCTGCGCTACGTGATCGTCAAACGACACGAATTCGCCAAGGCAGATCTACGCCATATCTCCCTCGAATAGGTGAAATAGTGCTACTTGGAGACAAACATGTATCTCGAGGTCAATGGCCCTTAGCAGTAATTACGAAGCTCAGCCATGACCGTCAACAACAGGTCAGGTCAGTTACCGTTCGAACATCCAGCGGCAATGTCCTACAGAGGTCCGTTAATCACCTATACCCTCTGGAGATAACACCTCAAAGCGACTCTCCGCAGCAAACGAGGTCACCTCCTCGCAGACTACAACCACATAGGAAGGTCAAGCGTACTAGCTCCTATAAATAGTAGTCACACACAATCACCCCATCAATTTCTTCGACTTCTTTATACAGTTACAGTCGCACGCCGTCTCCAGGCCTCATTAGGCGGTCAACTTCCCCAGCTCCACCTGTTACTACCGCCCCTTTCTTGTCGGCTTATTCCAATTCTTCTTCACCGAATTTGAATTCGCGCCACGCAATCCATATAGCCGACTCGGCTCTCTCGTTCAGGCATTGTCTCGCTCCCGAATATGGTCATTCCGCTGGGGATCCGCATACAGTAACTGAGCCAATATTTCGTCATTTTAGAGCCCGGTCTAGCTGCTTTTATCTGTTTATGTTTGATCCAGTTTCCTTTTAGAATTTTTATCATGCATTCATGTTGCTTCTCCAATGTTTCATCAGTTTTTCTCTCGTGGATCATTTGCACGACGACCATTGAGGAGCTCATGTGCGCTGGGAAACCATCATGGATTGTTCTACACTAGTATCTTTTTGAAGGGCCATACTCCCTCCTTTTGAGCTGCTCGGATTCATGTTTGCCTCATAACATTTGGTTCTTGCGTCTACGAGGTCCATTATTTCGACTACCTTTGCTATTCGAAAATGCTCCTCTCCGTTCATGCACAATTTTTGAGAATTAACGACGCGCTTATTAGATTCTCCATCATGTTTTTGTAGGACATCGCGTCTTTACTGAAACCCACACCTGCTTTCATTAGATAATCACGCCATGCACATTACCAAACTGATTTGCGTAAGTTCTTCGATTAATAGCCGCACGCTGAAGTAGTTTATGGCAATCATGTTGTTACTGCTGTAGGCGATTACACGGAAGGGACCTTCATGAGTTAAACCCTCTGGGAGGCAACGTCTAATTTGGTTTCCACATGCCCCTATTGACGGGTTGACCCTTTCATGGCGTACTCAACATGATTCCTCATCATTTTTTTTGCAACATCGGATTCACTCGTTGATTTCAATTCGTTTACTCGTCAACTTGTTTGCTCTTCATCGCATATACCGCTGCACTCTGCACATTTTATATTTTCACTGTGCCTTATTACTACGTCTGTCATTTATGATTCATGATTCCCCCTCGATGTAATTCCTCCCTATTAAAATCAGATCAAACATCGCGGTGTGAGTCTTGCCCGACTAGCTCCGTATTCAACCGTTCCGCTCAGGAACCACGGCCGCGTTTCATCGGGTCACTTTATTCATCACGCACTCCTAAGTTTTCCAACTTCCACATCAATGTCTCGTTTTTGAGTCAATTTTCTCTTCCCAGCTTGTCCCCTCCGCACCGAAACCCCCAATTGGCTCATGTCTTAGCTACTCATCGAACAATCGGATTTTTCAATTGTAACTCCTTCCCCCTTTCCCTTCAGAAGCGTCTTCTCCTGCAATTTTCGGGTAATTTCACGCATCCCACTCGTTCTAATTCGCGTGTTGATGAAGGACACTGATCTGATTTACTTCGGCTTCGCATCCATCATTTCGATAAACCTTGCTGGTCTCAAAGGCTCTCATAGAGCTCGATTTTGTTCATGTGCCCGAATTAATCCCACTCCTCATGCTCTTGTGGAACTTCGCGCCCTTTAATAAACTTGTGCCGCGCCGGTTTCATCATTTTAGTTAAGCCATGCCCACTTGCACTGATGTGCTCACGTTCATTGATTACCGGGCGCGCGCGATGGAACATGATTGACATGAGCTTTGATAGCAATCCCGTCGGCGTCTTCAAAGTCAATTCATGACTGACTTTCATTCTGTATTTAGGCGTTCCGTTTGAGACGCCATTACGGTACTGCAGCGAGTCATCACCTCATGGCATGCAACCCGCCGTTTTCTTGATTTTTTTTCTGAACATTCATGTCCATCCACCCCTTTTCAAACCATTGCCCCCTTTCTTCGGCCCGAGTAACCTTGTCGTACCAAGTTTAACTTCAGCTTATCGCCCTGAATCATTGTCTCCATCCAACAAGTCATGTTCCCTCCACACCGGGGTCCTGATGATCGCACTCGTGACTTTTCATTCGTCGTCCATTTATTTACAAGGGTCGTGTTGATAAGTGGCCGCTAACCCATCGTTGGCTCTGGGCTCAAGATCTCCCATATAGACACATTGCTAACTCCGCCTGCCTTTACCTAACACTCTTATATCTTGTTACATTGTTCATGATTCAGGGTGTAACCGGTGTTTTTCCCCTTTGTGAGCCTGCCCTTCCTTTCAAAAATTAAAATGTTTCAATCAACCTGGTCTGATTTTTCACGTGATTTTGGGGTCGTTAAGCCACACTATTTCTGGTAACTCCATCGTTACGAAATAGTTGTCTTCAACACGATTCATGGCGTACATCATATTCTCCCGATTTCTCTCATCCCCCGTCAGATATAAACAGACATAACAGTAGTCTCATGCTCCGCTTTTTTCATGTTGCTACTACTTTCTTCAAAAGCGACTACATGTCTACACAATAGCCTCCACCATTTACCATTGCAAATCTGTGTAAGAACAATATCACAACTGTGCCATGTTTCATCATGCTGCCTTTCTGAAGTGAGATTAGGCTTTACAGCCCAGTAGCACCGTGCCATTGCACTCCCATTTTCAAGAGTTGTTCTGCCCCATATCCTCACTGAATTTGTCATACTATTCGTTAAGCACCCATCCCCCTAAAAATTACTGACTAGTTCTTCAGTTTGAAACCTTTGCCCCAACACTATCGTCCTCATTGGTATTTCCTCCTTTTACCACAAATTTTTTTTGCCATTCATGTTGGGGTAGCCGTCACATTTGGGGTCGTTTATTCTTCACCAATTCTCATGCTAGAACGCCGTTCGTTTTGCTTGGACCGTTAACGTTCCTTTGAGCAACGTACTGCCTTCCCTATTGTTCGTAGTCGCTGCGACTTCTTAGTTATGTTTACTCGTTGCAGAAAAAAGAGCGAATATGGCGTCTAGCGAACAAACACCTCATAAACGCTCCGCTACCCCTGTCCCTATGGACGTTGATGGTGAAAATTCTAGTTCGCCACGACCACATGATCAGACCAGGTCAGGCTATGTTCCTACTCATGAACTCACTCAGTCCTCCGACTTCACCCGCTATTTTCAGTACTGTGAAAGCAAACCCATCCCGTCATTGCAACTTGTCTTCACGAACACATGATGTGAACAGGTTAGAACATGCTCGTCTACTCATGAACCTATTCAGTCATCCACCCTTACCCATCATTCTTTTAGTAACATGGCGGCACACATGATCTTGGGCACCT